GCAGTCCATCCTCCTCCATCCTTCTAGGGATTCGGGGCACACCCGGGAGCCCAGCACGTTTCTGAGGTGCTGAGTCCAGGACCACACCCCAGCCGGCCCTGCAGGGTCCAGCACCTGACCCACCACGCACCTGCTGGCCTCCTGTGTTGACATGTTACTGTGACGGGCTTAAGGTGAGGACTCGACCCTCGAGGCACAGAAGGGTAGGCCTCTGGGAGGTGAGTGGCCGGGGGGGTGGCGCAGGGCCCAGGTTGGGTCCTGGCGGGTTTCTCCAGAGGAGGCAGAGACCCAGTGGGCACAGACCGCGCTCTGCTCGGCCCCTGCTCGCCCACGTCCTGATGGACACGTGGCCCCTGGACCTCAGACCCCCACCCGCAAGCCGAGTGGACCTCTGTCCTCAATGACCAGACTCAGTGTCCACAGAGGCCTGGAACACCCCAGCCCTAACTGGTACAGACCAGTGCAGACCAGCCCGTGCCAGAGCCGACCTGCCTCAGGCGCTCAGGGCTTGAGAGCAAGCCGTATGTGGGACCCCGCTCGGCGTGATGTAATGGGATTCGTGGTGACAAAAACGGGGCCATCACTAACTGACGTCCTGATGGGAGAGTCCAGGTCCCCACACTGGGGCCGGGGTGGGGTAGCAGGCTGTCGACTTCGATGGCACGCGGTCCTTCACGGACATCGCACCTGTACGGACACGCAAGCACCACAGGCAAGGGTTCTAGAAGGTACGTGACACCCCGTGTCCCGGGCACTGGCTGAGTCACCGAGGCAGCACCTGGGCTTCTCAGTCACGCCGTTCCATGGCGGAGCAAGCACGGCCTGGTCACTCCTCTCCAGATGCGGAAGGCCAGCTGATCAGCTACTGGGCTGGGTCACGTTCCCTCCCTGCCCACTTCTCTCCCGGCCACCTCTGAATCCAGGGTCTTCATGTGCATTCACTGTCCGGGAAGGCCCTGCCGCTGTCTGGGACGGTCCAGTGCTCAGCACCCAGAATAGGACCCCCACAGCCTACGTGCCCGCTCTGAGTCCAGGGCCGCTGGCCTGAGCTTCCCCACGTGGGAGGAGGCACCTGAGCTTCATGTCCCCTGGCAGGGATAGGCTGGGAGGACCAGCAGCGCACGCCGACCGGCTGCTCACACTGCCTCGGCAATTCGAGCTGCAGGCAGGAGTGGGACTGTCACCTGTAGAAAGAAATCCCAGTTGGGCCCCGGTGGCAGCCGGTGGCACTGTAAGTGGATCCATGTGGGTTCAGGTCCCGGACCTCCCAGAGCACCCTGGGCCTGTGTGCCTGCCCATGATCCAGGCCAGCTGAGGCTGCAGGTGGACCACGCCCGGGGGCCCTGCTGGGCACTCACACACCCCTCTCAGAAGAAAGACGGAAGCCTCAAATGGCAGGCGAGCAAACACCCGCAGAAGGCCTTCACGTATGCACATTTACTGAGGAGATGGGGGCTACATAGCAAAAGTACAAAAACTTCGCAGCCGAGCACCCGAAGTCCAGGCGCCGTCCCCACCGCTGGGCTCCAGCCTCCTGCGAAGGCTCCGGGCAGGGCTTCAGCACCTCGCCCGGGACGACAGAAGCTAAGCGCCTGGCGGGCCGTGGTGCAGAGCAGCCCGCCTGCCCAGCCGTCCCTCCGCAGGGCTCCCGTTTGTCCTAACGGCCACCTTCCCCTCGGGCCCGGCGGGGAGACAAGGCCGACCCCACCTGAGCAGGGCAGTCCTGGCGAGGCCTGGAGCCGAGCCTCCTTCTGGCTTCTTTCCTTCCTCGGAGAAGGTGCGTGTGTATGCGGGTGTGGCCGGGGCGGGGACATTCCACGAGCGAGTGGTGCCCACTGTCACCCCTGCCCCCACAGTGGAGGCGTCAGAGCCATTTTATTCCCGTCAGCAATGACGTCAGGAAGGTTGCCCAAGTCCCACGGCCTGACCAGCCTGGTTCTCCCAAACAACCTAAGCGATTCACCGCTCCGGGCAGGGAAGCTCGTGTTCGCGGGTGTGGCCGGGGCGGGGACATTCCACGAGCGAGTGGTGCCCACTGTCACCCCTGCCCCCACAGTGGAGGCGTCAGAGCCATTTTATTCCCGTCAGCAATGACGTCAGGAAGGTTGCCCAAGTCCCACGGCCTGACCAGCCTGGTTCTCCCAAACAACCTAAGCGATTCACCGCTCCGGGCAGGGAAGCTCGTGTTCCACATCCTCGAGCCTCAGAGCCGGAGAGGGGCCGTGCACGCAGCAGTGTGGGACCTGGGGACCTGGAGACCTGGCAAGCCGCCGTGGCAGCCCTCCTCCCACGCGCTGGCTGGTCTCTGTCCTGAGGGCACAGTCTCGTCTACACACACACGCACACACACACGCCATACTCCTGAGTGCGTCTCTCCCTTGCTCAGACCACCCCACGGCCACTGGGACTCTGCTGGACCATGGCCAGGCCTCTTGGACAAGACCT